CCCCAAAACCCCAAAACCCCAAAACCCCAAAACCCCTTATTGCATTAAATTTATTGAACGTTAAATATAACTATTTTGCTATCTCTTCATTTTAGCTCTGTAGTTCTTAGAAGCAGACCTCATCTGTATTTCAGCACTGCTTAGCAAACTTTCTTTAAAGTCTTTTCTGACTTTATTTTGACTTATATTCATATGATGAGACTTCATTCTTTCTTTTCGATGAACAGTAGACCTGTTTCCATATTCTGTTTTATTGTTATCGCCTCCTTCCCATTTCTTCAAGTTAGGAAGATATTGGCTGTAGTCTTCTCTGCTTTTCTTTGCATGATTCGTAGAGAACCTTCTTTCTAAAGAAGGGTATACTAAAGCAAGCTGCTAGAATTTTCATGGCTGGCCGGGTTGTAAGATTTCTGAGGAGATCGTCTGACTTGTCTTTGAGCATACGAAAATCTTTCTCCAAGACTGTCATAATGAGAATTATTATGTCTATGGTGTTTAAAACTCTCAGAAGATTCGAAATTAGATCGATTTAGCAATCTTCCTTTACTCTTACTAAGAGAGAAGGAGTTATCGTAATTCGAAACTGGGCTCCTGAATGTTTTATTGTTAGCTAAGGCTGCATTCATATTAATTTTGTATTTTGTGGAAGGGTTATTCCTTCTATACATTGATATTGGACTATCGTCTAACTTTTCAGTTTTGAATGTATTATCGGTAGTCCTTCAGTTAAGAGACATTTCATCTGCCTTAGAGAAATCCTTGGATTCTTCATTCTCTGTATCACTTCCTCTATTTGATGTTTGTGTCCAATTGTCAACCATCTTTACTTTACTAATTCTGGAAAGATTGAATTTTCCTTTAAGAGCATTTTTGTAATTTGAAATCCTCTTCATTGGGCTTTTCTTTGCTCTCTCTTGTTCTTTCTTTTTCTTTATTTTCTCTCTCATTTTTAGCTCAAGCTCTTTATTCCTCTTTTTAAATGAGTTTTGAGTAGGAAGCTTCTTCTGTTTCTTTTTATTTACTTTCAAAGGTAAAATTTTTGAGATTTCGTCATCAGACATATTATCTTCTGATGGTTGTGAGTCAGATCCTGCACTGCTTCCATCGTCACTTTCTACTAGGAGTTCTGCTTCTTTTTCTTCATATTCTTCCATTAGATCATCATAGTTTATTTTTGAATTCTCTTCTGACTCTTTCATTTCAAGGATTTGAGGTTTTCCTTCAACAATTTCATAAGGATCAATTTTTAACTTGAGGATTAGAGCATGAAACAAATTTCTTCCAACTTTATTAAAATGCTCGGAGTTAAAATGCATTCCTTCTAATTCTCCTTGATCTGCACCACAAAAGCTTGCCTCCATGGTATATATCATTGGGATATTAAGATCTTTGAATAGGGAAATCCTCGCTGTTGATTCCTTGGATTTTGACATTGAAAATCTTCAGTACTTCATTGAAAAATAATCTGCCAGTTTAGACATCAAAAATGGGAACACTCTTGTTGAAGATGGATCATCTTGGATATTGTTTCCATACATAAAAATATTTTTCCTTCTAGAATGTCCGTGTAAGTCACAAAATAAAACCATTTCTCTCTCTTTATGAAATTCTCTTCATAACTTATTTTGTTTCATATACAGTAGGATGAAGAGTTTTAGATGGAGCTTTCCATCTTCTATTGAGATCTCATCCGGATAAAGATCATCTATAGTTTCCATTTATAACTCCATCAGGGTTAAGCATTGGAATGACCTTGAATATAAACATTTTTCTCAAAGCTTGGGCTTCGATACAGTCACTTGTAAGGAAATCTAGGACTCCTTTCATCATCCAAGAGCCGACAGATTCTCCAGGGTGGACTCTTGCGCTAATAACTACGCCCTTATTTTTCCACCTTCTTCTCCTCTTCTAGAATATTTTCTCTGGATGTAATTGTGAGGTACTCTCACTTGTTCCCAGCTATAGTTCTACAGAGAATATTTCTGGTGGTAAATTTAGCCTTCTCTGGGTCATTCATTATCTTGTTTAGATCCTCTGTTAAGTCTGAGTAAGTGTAAGGAAGTGAGTAAGCGAAATAAACTTTGTCATGATCATAAGGAAACTTGTATGAAAAAGTGAAGGTATAATACGATTTGTCAATTCCATACTTTCCTTCTCTCCTGATATTATTTTTATAGTAAGCAATGTCTTTGCCAGCTCTATACCATTCAATTCCAGTGTCGATCTTTTTATTTTCAGATAATCACAGGACTTTCATTCCATAATTATACAGAGAGTCTGGCTTGCATAAGTTCAGTATATTAAATTTCACGGTTTTTCCTTTGGTCGTATTGCCGACTCTGAAGTAAAACCATTGGGTGTGCCCATTGGTGTTGATGTCATTCTGAAGAAGCAAGTCATACTCATCTTCACTTGTCTTTATCGCAAGGTTAAGATTTCCTGACTCAAAGCGGCTTTCAAATACTAAAGTCTGGTCTTCTGAATTTTCAGGTTTATAATATGAGGCCACACTTTTCTTCTTTGGATTTTTAGATTTACTTGATTGCCTTGATTCCTAGAGCTGGAGCTTTTAATTTTTCTATTTCTCATATTCATGATTTAAAGCAATTTTCTTGAACTTTCTCTTCAGGATCATATGTACCTGTAGCATATCTGCTATAGACAATTGGATTTCTATCATAGTTATTTAACTCTACAGAGAACATTGTTTTAAAATTTCTCTTTGGCTTCTTTAATAATGAGAATTCTAATTCTTTATAATCAGCATCTTCTTTTAGATTTTGACTTCCTTGTTTTTCTGTGAACCCTGAACAAGCTCCATTTCCAAAAGTTAACTTAATAAAAGAGATAGGAGCTCCTGTTCGAATTGGCTCTATCACTATTTGGGATTTAGGTAGTAATGGCAGCGCTGGAGGAATTGTTGGTTTCTTCCTTACTTCTATTTTTCCTCCATAGTTATTCGAATCATTGAACTGTTCTGTGTTATTCTTTATCAAAGATAGATCTGCTTGTGGCTGTTCAGTTGGCATTCTATTTCATTGGCGATAAATTTTCAGATTTTTTATCCCTAGTTTCAGAAAATGAAGAGCTTGATTTATTTTCATCCTCCTTTTTCTCTGAAGTTCAATGATGGGGCTGCCTAGTTCTTTCAAAAGTTTTATTATCTTTGTCGTATGTAATGGACCTCTGACTACGATATTCCTTCATTTTATTTATATTATTTATTAATTTCAAACAAGGAAATGGCTATTGGGGTTTTGGGGTTTTGGGGTTTTGGGGTTTTGGGGTTTTGGGG